TGAAAACTTGTTTGATTATTTTGATTAATTTAATTGTATTATTTATAGTAATATATAATAATATAATCTATTTCTAATGTGATTTTTTCATGTTTTTCAGTTTTTCATGTTTTTCAGTATTCAGATTCGGCCGAATACCGAGTAGTATAAAATGTTGCCAAATACCTCAAATACCGAATATTTGCCGAATATTCGTGGCACCCCTAATAATTACAATATTTTTCGTTTTAACCAAAACTAATCACATTTATCAATAAATCTCAAAAAATTATTTTCTTTGTTTCCTTTAATCACTTTAAAATTTTTAACAAGATTAGTTATAATCGGTTGATTGACGAAATGTCATTGACGGTGATTTTCTTTTCGGTGATTTTCGGAGAGTCTCCTATTACAGGCCTATCTCCATACTATCATGTTTTTCAAAGTTATTAGAACACATGTATAAAAGATTGTATTATTTTTTAGATAGTAAACAATATTCTTTATAGTAAGCAATTTGGGTTTAAAAAGAGGCACTCTACTGATCATTGTTCATCTTATTATCTTTAAATCATTTGATGAAAATAAATATACATTAAGTGTATTTATTTATCTCAGTAAGGCTTTTGACACTGTCAATCATTACATTTTATTAACAAAATTAGAAAACTATGGTATTAAACATATAAATATTGCGTGGTTTAAAAGCTCTTTGTTAAATAGAAAACAATACATGAACATAACATGTGAGGTTCCTCAGGGATATTAGGACTACTTCTATTTCTCATTTTTATTAAAGACTTAAGCAAAGCTTGTGCTGAACTAGATACAATTTTATTTGCAGATGACGCAAATTTATTTTATGCACATAATGATATAAATATTCTGTTTATGTCAGTAAACAAGACCTATTTATCTTACTGAATGGTTTAATGCAAACAAATTATCTTTAAATGTAACTAAAACAAAAAATACTTTTTTCCATCGTTTTCATGACCGAGATAAAATTCCTTTGAAACTTCCAAAACTTTGTATTGCCAATCTGGGCAAAAAAAGAGAAACCACTTTAAAATTTCTTGGCGTGCTTCTTAATGAAAATATGGCGTGAAGATATCACATACAATATCTCGAAAATATAATCTCAAAGAATGTAGGCCTGTTATGCAGAGCTAAACCTTTTTTAAATCCAACTTGCTTAAAGCTTTTATATTTCTCGTTCATTCATTGCCATCTTAATTATGCAAACATTGCTTGGTGCAGTACAAATAAAAATAGAATAAAAAAACTATTTAATAAACAAAAGAATGCAGTCAGAGTCATTTCCAATGTGGGCCTTTATACACACTCCCAAGCATTATTTGTTAATTCAAATACAACGAATGTTTATCCATTAAATGTCTATCAAATTCTTATATTTATGTTAAAAATTAATAAAAATATATCTCTTAAAATATTTTACCCATTGTTCAAAATAAATCAGAATAGATATCTAACCAGATTTTCAAATGACAGTTATATTCAACCCAAAAGTTATTTTGCAAAATAACTTTTGGGTTGAATATACTGACTGAATTTTTAGGTTCTACTAAAAGGCCAAAATTATGGAATAAAATATTAACTAATGAACTTAAAACAATTGCTAGGCTTAATGAGTTGAAGAACAACTTGAAGCAAAAACAACTGATGAACGACTTAGCTATCGGCTTTTTCTGAAGTTTAATGATTGCTACTTACCGAAACTTACCGAACAATTAGAGGTTTGTCATTATCGGCTTGACGATCTTAGAAAAGGATTGTGCGACTTGTTATTGCTACAATTCTTCTTCTTCTTTTTTCTTTTTTTCTTCTTTTCTTTTTTTTTTTTTAAAACTATATATATAAAATTATGGCTTATAAGAATTATTCATATATTTCAAAGTATATGCTGGTGTAAAAGGGATAATGCGTATTTGCTTGCATGCTTTTTAGTAATATTGTTTCTTCGTACTAATTCTTTTTTTTTTCGTTTTTTTTTTTAATTTTTTTTAGCCAATACAAAAACAAAAAGTTAAAGTAGGACTTTAGGACCGATGAGTTTTATTTTATTAAGTCTTTAGAAAAACATTTTATATTATAAAGTGTTATGTTTTTTAATTTTTGTTGTTTTATATTTACGGTATAGACTAAGGGGCTTGTGATAAGACCAATTATGTTTTCTTCTTGCCCCTGCTATTTGTATTTAAATTATGACTTACGACTCTAATTAATTCATATGGCAAAAAAAAAAAAATTTAAACTGTTGATGGTGGATTTCTGAAAGATTATTGTAAAATATTATACATTTATCAATGTTATTGTGACAAAAACTCGCATTTCCATTTAAAAATAATCTGAATATATTTTTTTTTTAATTGTACTTCTTCAAAGAAACTGCACTTTTTGCAAATTATCGCTTATATTTAGAAATCCAAAAGTATAAAATACTCTTACTTAGAGGCCATAGTTACTGATTTGGCACATTATCAGTTCGCTGGAGTATTATATACAAGTGGAATTAAAATCTCTTAAACCATTCTTCTTTTCAATTGATTAAAGATCTTTAGTAAAGTTTTTGAAAATTTAAAAGTTAACCATTTTAACCTTCGACTTTTTGTATATTATTAAAGGTAATTTATAAGTTTAGCTAATAATTTGTAAATAACTAAAATTTTCAATATCGTCTTTTATATCCTTTAAGATTAATAAAAATTGGGTGAATAAATGATTAATAAAAAATACAAATTGCGATTTAATCTAAAAATTAAGATTTATGTATAACTTTTCCCATTAACTATCATTATATAAGACCAGAGCCGCCGAGAGGAAGGGAGTCCACCGGGACAGTTTGCCCCGGGCAGCAGATATCTAAGGGGCGCCAAATGAAATGTAGGTACCTAAAAAAAAAAAGGTTCTTCATATATAATATAAAGAAAAATTGATAAATAAGGGCGCCAATCAAGACTGCTGTCCCAGTCGGCGTGACAGCTTTCGGCGGCCCTGCCTAAGACCAATGATCGCCAAATCTTTGTTTAAAAGATCTCCCACGGTGTTCTGTGATAAGATCCTAAGGACTTCTGTGAGCACCTAAAAAACTACAAAAAAAAAACTACAAAAAAAAAAAAGGTTTACATTCAAAAAGTTTTTCAAGTCGCTTAAAAACAAGGGTAATAGAATAACAGGATTGCTGACTGGCTGACTTTTATGCAGACTTTATGTTTACTGTTTATGTTGTCTTTGCTTAGACTGATAAAATTCGTTTGTCATTTGTCCTTACTCAAACTGATAAAAAGTCTTTTTGTAGCATATACTAATAAAACATTGATTTTTTTATTGAGTCACCGGGCAAATAAAGAGTTTGTTTTTGCTTAAACAGAACAAACTACCAAATGAAATAACAAACTACTCCTGACTCTTCAAGGTAAACAAAAGATAGAAATTATTTTTAACTGTTAACAATGATCAACAAATAATCGTTCTGCGATCGACCTGTTGTCGACCGCGATCAAAATGTTAGAGATGTAAATAAATTAAGGTGGTATCCAGCCATTATTTTGGTAAAAAATGAAAAAAAAAATGAAAAATTTGAAAAATAGTTATTTAGACAATTGAACCTGTAGAATTCAATAGTAAAAATTTCTTTTCCAAAATAATTTTAGAATATCAATAATATTGTTTTCAAACATCGATGATTTATGTCGTCTACATGATTTATATTTTAAAACTGATTTTTCTGAATTTTTGTTTTTTTTTATGAGTAGCTGTAGGAAAACTATGATATCTCAATAAAAAAACATTGTTTTAGCTTCAAATTTTCAGGATATGCTTCTTATTAATGTGTTTAGTGCCTGAACCTAAAATAAAACTTAAAAAAAAATTAAACTCAACCTACAACTACCATATCAAATAAGTGTTTTATCGCTAAAATTAGTTTTTTTATACTAATAAGTCTGCCGTTTTCGATCGTTTAAAATTTTAAAAAAATTTTTTGGTTCAGGCACAAGCTACACTAATATAATAACATTTTGCAAAATTTCAACCTTTAATATTGACGTAATCTTAAGATATTTATGTTCTTGGGACGTTAACTTTTTTACCTTTTTTTGCTGAGTCAGCATTTTTTTTTTTAATCAAATTAAAAAAATATTTGCAATACGTTTTAGATTTTTATATGTTATGCTAGTAATTCATCAAATGCATTTATTATGTGTAAAATATAAGAAAATAGAAATAATGGCTGGGTACCACCTCAATCTTCTTGATTTATCTTAAACTTAGTTAATAAAAGAAAAAAAAAATTGAGCACTCATGTTTTTATTTAAAGCAAACTTTGCTTTCCGCAGATAATGATGAAAACATTCTCGTGATATTACATATTGGATCATTGTACAATTCTTGATAGTTCAAGAGCTTAGTGTCAAACAACGTCAACTACAAAATTGCACGTTTCAGAAGTAAAGAAAAATTTTCATTCATTAAATCCGTTAATTATTTTTAAACGATAAATTTAATTAAGAACTTAAAAAAAAATAATTGTCCCTTATTTTCAATCAGAGACTTAAATGACACATAATGGGTTTTCTCCCAATATATATCAAAAGCAATTTTGTTTTAAAAAAATATGAAATTTTCTAGTTAACGTTGTTTGATACTAAACCCTCAAACTTAGCATTGTTCACTATGGTTATCTAAAAAAAGAATGCAATTTTACTGTTCTGGTTATTTTTATATTGGGTTGGTAATTATTTAAAAGAATGGTAATTAATTAAAAGATTATATCTATTTAAAACATTAATTGTAAAAATATAGTAAAAAGAATATTTCGCTTTTATATAAACAAAATTTCTATTTGATCTAAAAACTGTTAATTTATGTTGTTATTATTTAAACTATTATTTATATAAGTATATTTATATTTATATATTATTTCTTGGGTATGTAAGAGGATTATAAGAATAATTTTTTTAATTTTAAATTACTTAGTTGAATTTTAGAGAAACGAAACA